TCCCCTCTCCTCCTTTCAGCAAGAATCCAAAATCCTCTTAGTGAAATTATTATTTTTATGAATGGAAATAACTACCTTTAAATTAGCAAGTTCAGGATTTCATCATAATTAAGCTCCAACTGTGGTACCACTTTGTCTTTTTCTACAGCTTTCCCACAGGTTTTCTTGCTAGGCATTACAGTAAAACTCATAGCTACATTTAATAGCATTGCTTCAGAGCTGATGGACAACTGTATGTATCCTCTGATACCGTAGAATTTTGGTTTGCTTTTCTTGGGATGAAAAAAAATGCTGTTTTAATGCTGACAAAATGTTAAACACCTGATCTATTTTACATACGGTGTATGTATGTAAAATGTAACATGACTTTTCAAGTTGATGACTCTTCTGCAGCTTATCAGTCATCTACCACAATCCTTACAATGAACTAAAGTTTTAGAAAGCATGTATTTTTCATATTCTTAGATTTCCATCTTTTGTTTCTCTGGGAGCATTTAGCAATACACATATTATTTCTAAAATATTTGTTAAGTTATATTTGTTAATTGTTGTTGCTCAAAAGCAACAACAAGTAGTATAAAAAAGTACCTTTAACTCAAGACAGCAAAGAAAACTGAAGAGGATAAAATTGAAAGCTCAAAAGGAGGGCACATAACATACATGCAAGCACACCACCTCTTTACCATGAGGCAGATGCTCATAAGATCTTTGCAGTGTCACAGTCAATCCTACACTTCAGAAAAAGCTTTCTCCTAACCTCTGTCCATAATAATCTTCTTCAGCAAAAGCCAAGGCAAAAAATGAACTTCTCAAGTAGGTCTGACAGTAACTCTGTGGTCATTCTTATTGCTTATGAAGTCTAAATCCCAGTGCTGCGAAAGGTAAGGTGCCTTCGCTGATGAGCAGGCTAATAGTTTAGAGACTACAGAACAACCTGGGATATTGCCACAGAAGTCCTAGGGCTGTGCACACACAGAAACATGAGTAAAAGGGTCCCCAGAGCAAGATTTTAATTATTATTAAGTGTTACAGTCTTGGTTTCAGAGCATTTTCACAAACCCTTGCATTTTCTTGAAGCACAAACAGTTCCCGTTACACCTACTGGCGCACAGCTGTCAGCAGCCCCTGATGACTTTGTGCAAATGCACTGCTGAAAACAGGAATCTCTGCACATGAAGAGCAAAGAGAAACTCTGTTCTTAAATCCATGTAACATTAACTTACCCAAAGGAGAAACTTTCACACTCTGCTTTCTCTTTGCTAGCACATTCACATCAGCCTCTCTCTTCCACTAGTCCTAAATATTTACATCCTTCTAAATGCTGGTAGAGTACACTTTATGTAGGTAAAAAGACCACATTCTTTAGCTTTAAAAGCTTTTAAAGTATCTCCATGCTTCAAAATTCAGTTTGATTAGTATGACTACCATTACAACAATTTAAGCTGTATGAGCTTAGTACAAGCTCTATAAGCTGTCACTTACCAAAAATATATATATATATATTTAATCTTTTTTACATAAGGTAATTTCAATTTTTCCAGATGGGTTGCCTTTTTGAACACATTTCCCACTGCAAAAATGGTGCTGAATTAAAACTAGAATATTGTTAAAAGCAGCAAGCCCTTAAACTACAGCTATTAGAAATAACCTGGAACAAAAGGAAAATTACAAGACCCAGTTAAAAATCTCCTGGTGGCTGGAAGGTAATGGAGTGCCTTATCTTTGAGTTTGCTCAGAGCCCTAGCAATCCAAAGCACATCTGACAAGCTCCCTTCACAACTCAGTGAAAGCCATGATGCTCAATGACGCCCGCCCATACAACATGCCAACATCTTGCAACGCTGGAGTGGAATCCACATATGTCCTCAAAAGGAGAGGCAGAGGAGTTGATTGACACAGTTTCAGCTCACTGATCCATGCAGGGCCTTTAAAATTAGTACTAAATATATGAAAAGTGAAATAACGCGCAGTTTGAATCAATTTAAATATTCATCTTATCCTGCACATCCAATATGCCATCCTGTGGGAGAGATGAGCTAATCCATCTGCTCTTTTTCCAGCTCCGTGACAGTCAATTCAGTGCTGGTGAGTTCACTTCGAAACAGACAAGAACTCATCTGCTGACACAGGCTCCCATTTTCAATTGCAAAGCTTTAATTGGTTAACATCACCTGGTTCACGCAATTGGATCCACAACACCTTACTGTACACATTTTCACAAGGCAAAATTTAGACAGCGGCTTACTCGCACACATAACCAGTTCCATGCCCAACTCCACCTATGAGCAGTGCCAGCGCCCAAGGAGCACTAAGGGCTTCCCAGTCCTACTGTGGATGTTAAGAAATTAAAAACTGAGCGCACACTGGGGAGGCTGCATTAATTTGGTGAACACCCACTGCCTTGAGCCCAGTCCCCATGCAGCCATCTGGCAAAGAGTCGGCACTTTTATGTAACGCTTCGGGGCTGGAATACTTTCTTTGTCTTCATTTTTCACATCCTTAATGCTAGGCCCAATGCTTTATCATGCTCTGAACAAAATGCTATTGATGCCACGGCTCTTTTGCCTAAATAAAGAATTCCAGACAGGGAATTTATTGCAAACGTTCAGGTCATACCAGTAAGACCATCACAGAAACACTGAGAGCAATAAAATCCAAAGTGTTTCATTTCCCCTTGCTTTCAGATAACTGTAAACAATGTTGAACAGTAGGATTTTCCTTTTGCAGGAATGAATGTGCTTTGAACATTGAAATCTGTTTTGAAGAACACTCTTTACAGAAGTGCTTTTAGCAAGCGTATTACATAACAGGGCACTTATTTAAAGAAAGAGGTTAAAACCAAGTTCAGCACTTGTAATTCGTTAAAATAACCCCAGTAACTCAGCCTAATATTCCCGTGTCATGGAGCTGAAGGTAATTTCTGCAGACCAAAATTAAGTGCTATTAATGCAGAGACCACTAATGCACTCACCCCGAAGTTCTCTTGAGAAAGATGTGTTCATTCCCATTTTAGGCATATACCTGCTTAGGTACCTCTCCAAATAACCAACACAAGCTATTTTTGTGACATTCTGGACTGTGTTTCTCAGAAACTACGCACTTAACACAGTTAAAGAATGTCTTTTCACCTGGATTCCAGCAACTGTGTTCAAACGATAAGTCAGGCAAACAAAGTTGCTGCAGCCCTTCCCCACTGCTGTCCTTCCCCCAGCTTTGCCAGGCAGAGTGACCTGCACACAGCTGCCAGTCCTACTTGTTTCTACGTCTGAAACTACCTCAGGTGTGTGGGTGGATTCTCTCACACAGCTCTCACCAGAGGCAGGTAGGTTACCTCTGTGCACATCATTCTAGATGAAGTGTCATCAGCTCTGCAGAATACAAAACAAAGAAGTGGAAGCTTGAAGCAACGTAGGTTTGTTTGCTCAGTAAAAATGGAAGTATTTCAGAAAAACAAATGAGCATTTGCACCAAAATAAACAGTTTGAACATTTAAAGGCAAGCTTCATAACCCAAACAGTAGGCATGATTGCAGTAACTTTTTTCCCCACATTTTTCCCTGTAAAGTCCACCTAATTCTTTTCCTAGCAGACCTACAGCCCCACGAGTCGCTTCCAGGCTTCTCACTCCGAACCCTCCTCCAGCTGCACTATTTTCAATATTGGATTTCATGTAGTCAGCCTGTTGGTTTTAAATAACTAATTCTACACTGAAGCAATACAGACACATAACATGGCATGCACTTCACCTGTCACTTACAAGAAGTATGTGATGTATTACAATTTTGAAGTGTTTGAAAAACGGGATCTCTGAAGCTCATCCGTGGTTTTGGGCTTCTTTGTTTGTTTGTTTGCATTTTCAACACATTAGGAAGGTATCTCAGACACTGCTTCGAAAAAACCCCAACATGAGCTTTTTTGGAAGTAAAAAAAAACATTGCAAGCCAAATGACTGCAATGAAACATTCCGGGATTGAAATGGACTTGCATTTAGTGCTGCTCACCTGCAGCTCCTTCAAGTTGCCAGTTATGTTTGCTAATTCCTTAGAATATGAAGTATCACGTTATTCAGCTTTTAAAATTCTATGGACTGCAAAAAGCTATGTACATTACTGACCACAATTATAACTCAACAGCTATAAACGCCAGCATGAAGAACATATGCTATATGCCTGAAATTTTAAGGATGATGGAACTGTCACATTAGTAGCATGCAGAACGCTATAAGGAACTCCCACAATGTAGCAGTTGTTCGAAAGTTGTACCCATCCGGTCATTCTATCTTTATTAAAAGATATATAATATCAGAGAGTGATTTATTCAAAACACAGCTGCAGACTAAGTTAAAGGTAAAAAGGAAAGAGAGAAAAAAAACATTTTTTTTTAAATTGGAGTTTTAAAGCCAAGCCAGTATATGAAGAATAAGTGAGAAGCCTTTCCAGAAAGTCAAGTTTTATTCCCAATACGTGGGGAAGAGAGAAGGTGACAGGTGAGGGAGCGGGAGCAGGCAGAGGAGCCGTGCAAATAAATGGCAGCCCAACAAATGGCCGTACATCGCACCCGGCTTAACGCCAGCGGCGCGTCCCTCCGTGCCGGCTCCAGGGGCTGCGCACTGCGGGAACGAAGCTCGGGCCGGGGGCCGCTTAAGCGGCGGGGGCCGCTCCCCGAATGCAGATCGCTAGTTGCCGCCAGGCAAGGCACCGGGTGCACTCCCCCGGGTCCAACTTTTATTTCGAGACTCTGCTGAGAGCTGCCTGCCGCGCCCCATGCCTGAAGCCCCCCGGGCACGGCCCCCTCTCGCCCCTCCGGAGCTGCGGCCGTCGGGGGTCGCCGGCCGCTCCCACCCCCACGCCCCGAGGCTGCCCGGAGTCCCCTCAGACGGCGAAGACTCGACAGCCGCTCCCTTCCTTTCCCAACCCCTGCCCAAAACCACGGGGGGAGTCGGCTGGGAGCACCTGCAGGGATGAGGACGAGGACTGGGAGGACGCGGGGCGCGCCGCTCACCTTTCATCCAGTCGACGACCTGGCTCGGCGACCACTTACTGACGGGCTCCATAATGAGGGCCATGGGGGCTCGGCGGCGCGGGGCTCGGGAGGCCGCCGCTCTTCGGGTGAGGGGCGAGGCTGTGCGCAGCTTCGGGAGCGTTCTGCCCTCAAACGGGGCCGTTCCTCTACCCGAAGGAGCCAAAATCCCCGCTAAAGCCCCGCTTGCCTCCGCTCCGCTCCGCTCGCTCGCCGCCTCTGTTCCTCTCTAGGGATTTCAGTTCATGTTGCCGGCTCGGCGGCAGGGGGAGGAGGAGGAGGAGGAGGAGGAAAAAGGAGGGGGAGGAGGCGGTGGCACGCTCCGACGCCTCCCGCCCCCGCGGCCCCGAGGGCGGCTCCCAGCCTTGGCGAGGGCTCTGCTGCCGGGCAGCGGAGCGGGGAGCGGCGGGGTTGAGGCTGCGTCCACCGGGTCTCTGAGGCCGCGGTTCCCGTGCGCGGGGTCTTTTTCTCCTGGCGGAAATGACGAGGTGGCTCCCGTCACCCGAAAATATCTCCCAGAGAGATGGGAAGCGGCACCCGAAGGCCGCCCGGGGCTGGGGGAGGCTGGGATGAGTCGCTAGGTGCGGGGGGATGAGCACCTGCTGCTGCCCAGCTGGGGGCACCGCGCCGGGGGCGAACGGGGAGCTCAGCCAAGGGGATCGCTGCTGTTCGGTTGGGTTTTCTGTGCTTCTTTTTTTTTTTTTTTCTCCCCTTCCCTTAAAAAAGCATCTCTGCGTGGGTGGTAAAGGTTGGTTTTTTCCTTCCGTCCTTCCCCTTTTTTTTTTTTTTTTTTCTCCTCTGGGGAAAGCCAGGCTGTTAAATGCCGGTGATAGACGGCGGTTTTTACCCACTGCTTCCAAAGAGCCCTGAGAGGAGAGAAGGAAAGGAAAAAAAGAAAAAAAAGAAGCGTTACTTCACTGCCTCGCCCCGGGAGAGAGGTGATGGGCAAAGAGACTGGAGGACCAGCAGCAGGCTCAGCCATGGGGGCCCATGTTGGCTACCGAGTTTCACCACTGAGGTGTGGTGGCTGCCTTCATCCTGAAGGAGCAAGGCTTGGCCAGTGCTCCCCCAAAGTAACAATTCCCACAGACCCTGTGACAGCCCATCTGGCTGTAGGAATTCCTCGCAGTGCAAAGGGATTCCTCCTACGATGGCTGTGAGTGCTTCTCCATCAACTTTTGTAGTAGCCTCTGTCCTCCCAGAGCTCCAGGCCAAGCATAAATACCATTGAAGGGTGTTTTCCTCAATTTTGAGTTGGCTAGTGCCGATTTTTGCCTACATTTACATCCCCCCTGCTCCTCCTGCCAACACTGAGGCAATGGCCATCAAGACATTCCCTCTGACGGCTGCAGAATGCCAGCTGCTGACTCCGACATTTAATATCTGTACATGAAGAAAAAAAGAGGATTCCCTCAGCCCCTAAGCAGCAATGATAAAGGCATCCCTTTGAATAGCATGAGCAGTGACACAAGCTCTCATGTTTCATTATGTGGGACTGAAATTCTGGCAGTGAGTGCCAGGAAGGCACTCAAAGGATCCATAACCTCTCCCTGGAGATCCAGGTTGCCCAGAGAGGTGATGGATGCCCCATTCCTGGACACACTCAAGGTCAGGCTGGAATTGCATTTATAATTGAGAGTGCAGTTTTTTCTACTGAAAAGAGGCGATTTGACACTGTAACTTCCTTCAAAATTGGCTCTAGCCATGCATATTGTGCCACATTTCTGACATGGCAGTCTGTTTCTAAGAAGTTTTCATTACCTAAAGCCAACAGAACAATAAACTTTACTTGCAAATTAAGGCTGACTCTTTGCCTTATGAAAGATTTGAAAGGTATGCAGGTCCTTGCATACTGGGTTATTGTTGAAAGAACGCATCATAATTTTAATTAGAAACTGGTATTTTGAAAGGTTTGGAAGTGAATACCTGAGATCAGATTGAAACCTGGCATATAAATCATAACATCACTGTGTGATTCTGATTGTGTTGAGAAGTTATTTATGGGTGAGGAGAAGAGAAATAAGTTCTCAGAACATATGCACCAAGCCCTATAGTTCCTCATTACAGAATGCATTATGATCCCTAACAGCTTGCTAGACTAATCTGGAGCTAGAGTCAGGTTCTCAGTATAGCATCTGTGACCCAGTACTGAACCAGTGAACAGAACATCACTTTAAAGCCCCTTTGCAGTGGTTCTAGCAAACTATGAAACTATAAAAGGGAGTTTACTCCCCCACTACAATAAACAGAAGATGCACTGACCCTGAGCTCTAGCTACATTTTTGTTCTTCTCATTGAACGTAGCAATCTCATAACTACTGGGGTAAATCATGCATTATTTGGGCAAATATTCTTGCTTTGGTTGGCTTACCCATGGAAAGGAAGATTTGGCTCAGTACAAGCAATGATAAAATTACCCAGTCATCGTATTTAATTTGATGACCTATTACTATTTCATAGTCAGGACATGTGCTATATACAAGTATTTTTTAATATAATTTGCTCTAAATTTATTGCTGCCCGATTTTATTACTGTTCTTTCTTTCTAGGGTAAGAAGTCCAAAGGAGAGCTGAATGACTTTTCATACTGACCTGCTTAAACTGTGGTGTCTCAGCCAAACTGCTTTAACCAAAGTTTTTCAGCTGTTTTCATTGTTTAGTGGCCCGCATCTTGCAGTCACACCTGCATGAGTCAGGAATTTTATGTATAGCATATGGGGCAGGCTTCTGCACAGATGCTGAACTGCAGAATTCTGTCCTAACTCATCTTTTATGATTACTTTGGTCTGTGTAATGCAATAAAAATGACTGTGGTGTATTAGTTTGTGTGGAGTTTTTTTGTTGTTTTGTTTTTTGTTTGTTTTTACTTTTTTTAAAATCTAAATATACATGCCTTTATTAGGAAACTCTAAATGTATTATGTAGTGAATGTAAAAGCAAATGCACAGTGAAATTCAGTATTCAAGGAAAAATTATAGAATCATGGACTGACTTAAGTTGGAAGTGAGCTTAAAGGCCACTCAGCCTGAACCCCTATGTATAATCAATGAATATACAGGTGCTATAATTAAGAAATATGCAAGAGAGTTTGGCTAAGCAGGTTATTACATCAAAAAGGATAGAAGGCTTACCCTTCTCCTGGGCTCACTAGAAAACTCCCAAAGGAGGGATTTCCAGAAAGAGATCCTTCCTTACTGGTAATCAGCTCTTAAATGGATCTAGGAGAGGTGGAGCCAAGCTCCACCCCTTCCGGCAGCACAGGTAAATGCCTTCACCTGTGCTTCCAGGGCTGACTCATTGCTTTCCTTTGGTGATTAGTCAAAGTTTCAGGCCACGAATCAGAAGTTCCCATACGCCCTGCCATGGGCAGTGCCCCCTCCCCTCCCCCCCAAGTAAAGAATTTTCTCCTGATACCTAACCTAAATCTTTTCTCTATTAGTTTAAAGCCATTCCCCCTTGTCTTATCACTACCAGATCATGTAAAGTCAGTCTCCCTCATGTTTGTAAGTTCTCCTCAAGTATGGAAGGCTGCAATGAAGTCTCCTTGGAGCCTTCTCTTCTCCAAGCTAAACAAGCCCATTTCCCTCACCCTTTCTTCATGGGAGAGGTGTTCCTGCACTTTGATCATTTTTGTGGCCTCCTCTGGATGAGAAAGTTTACAATTAAAGTACAAACCTGAATGTAGCAGTATATATTACATATATCTGCTTCGGTATCATTTCTCCAAACATCTCTTGAGCACGAATGAACAATCCCAGTAGATAGGTTTGGGTACCCGTACCTCCTGGATCACTGCATCAGCCTGCAAGATCAAACATTGACTTTTTGTAATAGCACGCTGTCAAAAGCACAACTCCCTAGAGTTGGACTGGCAACCAGCTGTTACGACAATACAGATTGTAAATAATATCTGTTAATGCTTCAAATGTATCCAATAATTTGCCTTTTTATGCCTAGTTGGTTAATAGAACAGCTCCCAGAGTAGAACGCTACTCAGCCTAAATAAAGGTAGATGAATTAAATCAAGGCTCTGACACTAGCGTAATGAGTGGGCGTTTATTTTATTTGTATGGAGACGGATTATGCAGTGGCTACAAGTGATGGATACAAGCATAACTCCAGAAATGTCCTGGATTTTCTGTTAGGGTCTCTAAAAAACATTTGAGATGCTCAGCAATGACAAGTTGAAATCCTGCCCTGATGTTAAGGAAAGCAATTTATCTTTGTAAAGATTTTGATTCTGGTGCTGGATATAAAAACAAATTCTTCTAGAGGAAGGAAGGTGAAAACAAGTGGCAGGAAACTAACAATAACTAAAAAGCATGTATTGCAACAAACAAGCAGAGAAAAGTAATATTTTCTTCAAGTTAAGAAAACTTGTTTGTGTTTTGATACCAAGTTCCCGATTTTTATAAGGCACATATTTTGAGAGCTTTTTTTCTCTATTTGCTCAGGATTAAACTGTTCCATTATCAAGAATCATAGAATGGCCTGAGTTGAAAAGGACCACAATGATCATCTAGTTTCAACCCCCCTATTATGTGCAGGGTTGCCAACACCAGACCAGGCTGCCCAGAGCCACATCCAGCCTGGCCTTGAATGCCTCCAGGGATGGGGCATCCACAACCTCCTTGGGCAACCTGTTCCAGTGCGTCACCACCCTCTGAGTGCAAAACTTCCTCCTAATATCTAACCTAAATCTTCCCTGTATCACTTTAAAACTATCCCCCCTTGTCTTATAATTATCCACCCTCATAAACAGCCATTCCCCCCCGTTTATTTGCTCCCTTCAAGTATTGAAATACAACAATGAGGTCTTCCTGTCTTCTCCAAGCTAAACAAACCCAGTTCCCTCAACCTCTCCTCATAGGAGAAGTGCTCCAGCCCTCTAATCATCTTAGTGGCCCTCCTCGTTATTATTAGCTCTCTGCAGTATTAGCTGTAAATATCTAGCTTGGATGCTGTTCTTACATATCTAGAGAGTAGCAAGTTGCTCCAGTCCTTGAATAAAAGCAGTGGGTTTGTTCTGTGCCTAGTAGGACTGCCATGCATCCTCTTTTCCCAGAGTCTTTTGTTTTCAGAGTGGTGTTTGAGCTGACCCCTAGCAAGGAGCAGGTTTGGTGTTCCCAGCAGG